TTTCTGGGCTGTCGAACCGTGACGTCACCCGATAAGCAAGCCTTGCAGCTGCTATAACGTTTAGCCAAAACATGAGGAAAAGTCAAGGTGCGTGACTGTTGTTTTCGTGGTGTGTATCTAAAACAATTGGACATAACCTTACACATTAAGACAAATATTAAGACTAGCATTACAGTTGACACTAACAGCTCTTTTCCTGTAACCTTGACGTGCCTGCAGTCTGCACTGCAGGCTGAACAGTTAACAGCCTAAGCTAGTCACCCTGTCTGCACTAAACATTCCTAGACAACAAATCTCTGAATATCTATCTAACTAAGAAATAACCTAACAAAGTGTTTAAATTGTATAGGCTATTAGGTTCGGGGTTTTTTCATCTTCTGGGCTGCCTGCGCGCAGTACTGGAGGCTTACAGAAGTGGGGACAGGTAGATGTGGGGCCAGGGAAGGAACACACTGACAAGGGAGATCAGAGCAGCAAAGGGGAGCTACTCTGAAAAGCTGAAAGCTCAGGTTTCAGCCAACGACCCCTCGTCTGTGTGGGGACACCCTGAACATTGTCTGTTTGAGCTGCTGCCTTCGGGGAGAAGATACAGAACAATTAAAGCAAGGACAAACCGATTAAGGAATAGCTTCTATCCGAGAGCTATTGTTGCTTTAAATGCTGCTAAAATCTGAATGATAGATGGGTTTATTTATTTTGTGTGATTTTAAGGGAGCCGTGCAATAGTCGGATGTGTATGGATGTGAGTGTGTAATTTTGCTGGGTTTTTTTATTATTTATGATTATTTTATTATCGAAGGATTGCATTTTAATTTCGTTGTACAATGTACAATGACAATAAAGATATAACATATAACATAACATAAACACTCCACCGTCATTCCAGTCCCCAAGAAAACCTCCATCAGTGGACCTAACGACTACAGACCAGTTGCCCTGACATCTGTATTTATGAACTGCTTTGAAAGACTGGTGTTGGCCCACCTGAAGGACATCGTAGACCCCCTGCTGGATCCCTTGCAGTTTGCCTACCGGGCAAACAGGTTAGTCGATGATGCAGTGAACATGGCACTGCATTACATCCTGCAACATCTCGACACCCCAGGGACGTACGCATGGGCCTTCTTTGTGGACTTCAGCTCAGCATTCAACACCATCATCCCAGACATCCTCCATTTCTTTACTCTGATTCTCACTTTGCCAGTACATTCCATGCTAATGCCCTCACAGGATGATCTGAGACAATTCTACCACCTCAGAGGAGAAGGAATCTGCTTAACAAACACTCATTGTTTTTGCAGACCAATTGGAAACATTTTTAGATAAGAAACTGAAAGAAGAACATCCTCTCTTTGAATTCCTCAAGTAAGGGATCCTAAGAAGGTCCCAATACACACACCTTGTCCAGACACTACCCCCCTCTCCAAGATACAACCAAGGCAAACCCCCACACAGCTTAATGGTCAAGCTTATCGGGTCATAAATATTATTTCTCAAAATGAACTCACCCAGCACCACACAAACTTACATGGACTGTGTCTGCACTCATTATGGTCAGGGTCAAGGTATGCGTGGGTTTAAAGGGCATGTATCTGAGGAAGGGGTTAAGAAGTGGACGTGAAACATCAGGACCATCACCAAGAAGGCACAGCAGAGGTTGCACTTCCTGCGCCAGCTCAGGAAGTTAGACCTGCCCCAGGAGCTGCTGATACAGTTCTACAGAGGAATCATCGAGTCTGTTCTCTGCACCTCCATCACTGTCTGGTTTGGCTCATCAACCAAACAGGACAAGTACACACTTCAGCGGACAGTCAGGACTGCAGAAAAGGTCATTGGTGGGAGCCTGCCCTCCATGGAGGACCTGTGCACCTCACGGGTCAAAAGGAGGGTGGAGAGGATCACTGCAGACCCCTCACATCCCAGATACAATCTGTTTGAACTCCTCCCCTCTGGACGGCGTTACAGGTCACTGTGCACTAAGACAACCAGGCACAGGGACAGTTTCTTCCCCCAGGCTGTCGCTCTGATGAACACTTAACCAATGACAGTATGATTGGACAATAACCCTCAGTGCAATACCTGTAAATATACCTCGTACAGATCATAGAGACTTGTACAGGTTTCTAGTCCTTAAGTACTCTGTTTTATCCCTATCCTGTTTTGCACATTGAGAGCCAATGTACCAGAGTCAAGTTCCTCATGTGTCCGTCACACCTGGCCAATAAAGCTGATTCTGATTCTGATCTCAGAAGGTCTGCATGTAGTCTGCAAGCAGTGCAGTGTGAGCTTTTTTTTCCCCCATTGGGTCAACTGAAACAGCAGATGCTGTAGCTGTCTTTTCACTGCAGTGCCAGTTGTGTGCATCAGTACCCATTATGTCCATATAATTAGTTAATGAAAAATATTTTCAACACAAATATCATTAGTCATCATTAGTGATATGTTCCTAGAAAGCAGGTTGAATTTAATAGTAATAGTCAAGTCTGGTTCATTACAACCTACTGTGGAATCAGAAAGCATTCAGACCTTTTCATATTTTAGACTCATCTTAAAATGGATTCAGTTCATTTTTTTTCTTTAGTCTACACACAATACGTCACAATGACAAAGTGAAAACAGGTTTTTGGAATATTTGGTCGGTTAATTAAAAGTAAAAGACTGAAAAATCCAATTTACATAAATGTTCAGACCCTTCACTTGGTTAAAGCACCATTGGCGGCAGTGACAGCTGTCTTCTTTAGAATGAAGCTACAAACTTGGTTTCTTTACCTCCACCAAGGAGGGTATGTTTTTGGTCCTGCCATGTGTTGGCTGTTTACTAGGATTACTCATAGCCATTTGGATGGGGAGAGGTGACAGTGGTACGGTGGGTAGAGCAGTCATCTCCCAATCAAAGGGTTGAAGGTTCGAATCTCAGTGCCTGCAGTCCTTGTGTCGAAGTGTCCTTGGGCAAGACACAGGAACCTCCCCGATGGTTAGAGCCATTGGTTGAGTTGGCATGTGGCTGCCTCGGTTCTGTACCGGAAACAAATTCCTTGTAACATACTTGGCCAATACAGGTGATTATTCTTATCATCAACATACGTACTTGGTACAGACATTTGGGGCGGAACCATCACAGTAGTGATTAGGTTTTGGCTGAAAAAGGTCAAAGGTCAAGGTCACAAAATACGACTCTTCCTCTGAACTGTCATCACTTCCCAAAATAAAACTTGAAATGTCTGTCAATCACAGAATCTTAGGACTACTCATTAAACAGTTTTAACATTGTGAGCCCCGAGCTTAACTTAAAATGCGCATTTATTCCTGCAGTTTCAGGGGTAAACGATCAAAATCATTATAAAATCCACAGAGCTGACCAGATTGCACATGCTAACAGCTAATTCTACACTCTGAGCTAATAGGCAGCTGTCGTTCTTGGTACAAACATTTTCCAGTCATTAGTTTTGTGATTCATGCAGTTTTACCCACATAAACATTCATTCATTATTATCTTTTCATAAAGGTCATAGATGTTGGGCCTTTCTACCCTTGACGTGCACATGCAACTTGCTGATGTCATTGCCACAGAAACGTTTGTGGCAATGTGGTGTCGCTCTCCCCTCCACCAGATGACTTCACAGTACCATCTTTATAATTTGCAGAAAGACGTATATGCAGAGACCACCAGTTAAATTATACGAAGTGCATTTAATTCGTTTCCATATAAGGTTGACAGTGATGTACAATGGAGTTCTTTGTGTGTGTGTGTGTGTGCGCTCACTCTGCCTTTTTAGATGACTTCTGTATATATATTTATTGCTTCCAGGGAGCATCGCCAACAGGGTTTTCCATGAGGTTTTGTTTGACACATGTTCAGATTTGGCCTCTCACTGCTGGCCTTGGGACTCTGGAAAGAAGCGCAAGAAACACAGCCTAAAGAGTTCTCTGGCAGAGGGCAAACGCTCCAAACCACAGCGGAAAGAAATGCTAGAGGTACAGTGCTGTGTCAGAAATCACTCAGACTCACGGGACACTTACAAGATGTGATGGTGTATTGGTACAGCCTTTCCCCAACAGGTGGAAATTCTTTTTCAAGTTGACATTAAAAATATTCTGCATGGTCTGCCATATCCTTTTTCTGGAACTTTTATATATGCAGTAAGGTTATTTTGATAATACATGAAGTATATGGAAATTGTGGTGCCTGTTGTGGGTATTCTCAGATGGAAGTGGATGATGAAGAAGAAGAGGAGGAAGAGGAACTTCATTTCTCTGTTCAGGACTTGATGAAGATCAAAGATGCTGTGGTCCTTCTGATCCAAAGCCTCCTCAGACTCCTGCAAACATTTCCCCTAAAAGACAGACGACAGAACATCAGCAGCTGCATACAGGTAACTGCTGATTCCACCATCACACCCATTAGTGAAAAGTGTATACTTGGGTACAATTTTGAGGAACTTATAATTAACTATTTCCATTTTATGATACTTTATACTTCACTACATTTCTGAGCAAATGTACTTTTTACTCCTCTACATTTATCTGACAGCTGTAGCTACTGAAATTGCTATTATTAAAATTAGGTCCACCTATACCAGCTTTAAAATTAATGTGTACATCATTAATCATTGCTAATTATATTGAGGAAAGGCAAAGCTCTACACATTGTAGCTTTAACGAGTACCTTTAAGTTTGGTACTTTTATATTTGAATACTATTTGCGTAACATTTTGAATGCAGGACTTTTGCTTGAAACACTATTTCTAAGGTATTGATACTTTTACTTAAATACAACATTTCTTCTGAGAGTTACATCTGAGACCACTGATTATATCACACTGAGCACGTAGTCTTTATTTTTTTCTCTGCAGGTCTTGACTAAACTGCTTTACTTTGAGCCAGTCATTGGAGAGCTAACCTTTGCTCCTGTACAGTAAGTTTTTATTTTTTTTTATACTTCTCTGTGTTGAAGAATGCATGTAAGGTAGTAATGCACTGATGCCGATAGTAGTATCAGGGCTGATAACACTGTCTGGTACTCTGCTTGTGCTCGTAAAAGTTGTCCCACCAATACCAGTTAACGGCAGCATTGCATTAACCTCACGCTGGCTTAGCTGGTCGTTAGGTGGCAGAAAGAAATTTCAGCGGCTCAGAGATGTTTTAAGATGAGTGATGACAAAAGTAAAGCTGAGTGTGAGCTCAGCTTCTCTGTTTTGTGTGTGAGGGCCCCTCCCTCCCTTCTCACACAGGCAAGCAAGCACAGTTTTGTGTTTAAACAGATGCCAACACTCTTGTGCAAAAAACCCAACAGTAATGGAGAGGGAAATTAATCAAACATTTGTTTGAAACGGATCACAATAACAAAATTCGACCTCTTCATTCTTCTCACAATCCGGTCCCGTTCAGTCCGCTAAAAGCACCATGGTGGTTGTTATGCTGATTGTAGTGGACTGTTGTGAACAAGAAGAAAACAAACTTTCTGTTTGTTTCAATTAATAATAATAAAATAAAAAAGTAACACATTGACAAGACAACAGATACATGACATTACAAAAAGATGTAGTGTTTTACAAGATTGTAGTGTGAAGTGTGGGTATTTCCAACTTATGCAGTCTATGAAATGCAAGAAAGGGAGAAGGAGGGGAAAAAAAGCAAAAAATTTAACGAGAACAATGATGAGTACTAGTAATAAAAGCAGCTTGTTACATTTTTAGAGGTTGGTCAGAATGTGTGTGGCCTCAGCCCCAGGTGAACATTCCATGACACTATTTTAAGTGACTGAGTGATTGATTGTTTGTTATAGATATCTGTTTGTATGTTTAAAGGAGGGAAGGCGGGGGAAGGAGAGAGAGGAAGGAGAGAGAGGAAGGAAAAAAAAACATAAGAGGGTTAACAGGATCTAGAGTTGATGCATGTGTGTGTGTGTGTTTATATGTATGTGTGTTAGAGTATGGATGTGGGCATAACAGTACAGAAAAACATGGACAAGTATACATTTTGACATGGTGTGATGAGCAAACAAAAACACAGACAGAATAACAGTAAAAAGAGGGGCGCTGATGCAAGGGATGGTTGTAAGAGTCCGTGTGGGAAATGGGTCGCTGTATGTGTGGATGTAAGGGACAAGGGTGATCAATGGGGCTTGAATTATTTAAAATATAATGCAGCAGTCACTGGTTGGTAGGTGGTGTGTAGAAAATTAGAAGAGCCACGGGTAATGTTCGAATCACGATAGAGCTGTCCTTCAATGTATAATTTGTCCACAATATTTGCACGTTTGTTGTTCCGCCTGTGTTGTTTCATGATGGGGTAGAGGATTTTTCATCGTTTGTTTATTTCAGGTGGGAATTGATCATTGAGTCCAAAGTTTGTGCCTTTCAGTTCCTTTCCTTTACTTTTAATTAGTTCTTTGTGTTTGTAGTGTTCCAGTTTCGCTATTATGGGTCAGGGTGTTATGTTGGAACGTGGACCAAGGCGGTGTGCGCGGTGAAAGGTGATCTTATCAACAGTATCTTTTGGAATTTTGAGTTGGTTTTTCATGAAGTCCTTAACCAGTGCTTCGGGGTTATCAGGTGATTGTTCTGGAATGCTGGAAAAGATAAGGTTGTCATGCATGTTTCTGGTTTGAATGTCCAGTATCGTTTCTTTCATTATTCTCTTTTCATTCGTGATGGAGTCTGTTTTGATGGATGCTTGGAGAGAGTTGCTTGACTGTTCTAACTTTTCAATGTAGTTGTGGGCGAGTTCAAGGCTAGACCAGTGCTCTTTTATTTCATCATGAAGTATGACCAGTAAATTGAGTTTATTGAAGGATGCAAGAACACTGACCTCAGTGTCTGTCGTCTGTAGATCGCTTGTATCTGTAGAAGAGGTCTTTTCCATTTGTTTGGCTTTGGGGTGTCTTGCAGGGTTGTACTGGCGGTATCCATACTGCAGCGAATGTAGTATTGGTCAATGAATGAGTCTAGATCCGATAAATCTTCCAGTATGTGGAAGGTCCGTCCTGGCTATTGGCAGCAGCGTGCGATTCCGATGGATTGCTCGTGTAATTCCAGTAGTTGGTTATAAAGTCTGAAAAAAATAGCTAGGAAAGTGTTTGTTTACTCTGTGACTGTGCGTCGCCATGTTGAATATCCCCGTGCCGTATCACGATCTCGGGATACTCAGTACGTCATCTTCAGACTTTCTGTAGTTAACATTGATGTCATATAAGCTCTGTGTATGAAATTGGTTGGCTGAGACAAGCAGCACCTCACCACCAGAGCAGGTGTGTGTCCAGCAGAGAGAACAGTATGGAGCCACAGACAGTAGCCAGTTTTACATAAAGCATGCAGCCTCATTTAATTAAATATTTAAATTTCTGACAGTGATAATATGCACTCCTAAAATGTGATGTTCTGGTCAGGGGTTTTGTGAAAGCATTACATTCTAAAACAGGGTCACATGCTGTAACCCGACAGACATTCAGTCAGTTACATGTTATTCAATAGAAGTGGTAGCAGTGCTGTGTTTGTTATTACAGAAGGTTTTCAGGTAATTTGCACAGCCTTCTGTTCCATAAGATATTCTGTTTAATCAAAACAGATTGCAGTTTTATGGTAATAGCATTTTTTAAATAGTAGAAACATGGCGAGTACTCAAATATAAGTACTCTTACTGGGTTTGAAAAAAGTGCTATAGGTGCATTCCTAGCATGTTAAGTGATGTCAATTGTGTTTTTTCTGAACAGAGATACCAACAAGCTCAGGAGTGTCCCTGAGATGGCTTTCTACGGACTGGAACTGCTCTGCTCACCAAAACACGGAGACCAGAAAGAAGTAAGAATTTTATTCTCATGATCTATGGTGGGCCAATAGTACACAGACTTGTTGGGTTACTGTGTAACTTATCAGCCTAAATACCACTTTCAGGCTGCAGAATGGTGATGCAATTCCTCTGGTTGCACCATTATGGCTGGAGTTTGTAGTGAAACATAGAGACCGTATGTGTTTTGTCGACTAGATGGCACTTGGCACACTGTATAATTTAGTGCTGTCAGAAATGGCCAAAAATGACACTTGAATATTCATTCTTTTCATTCGCTTCTATTTCACTATTCAAGTATCTATTTTTTTGCATTATGTCCATACAAACAAATACAACGAGAGACATAACTACTTGTATATTTATTTCAGCATAAAAGATCGACATGCCTATACATTACAAAATAAACTACTGTAATAATATAATTAGGTTATGGTACATAAAATAGACATTCAACTCTCAGAGTGAGATGTGATGTGATTTAAAAATAGAACAACAATAATTTTTTCCTTGACATGAAAATAAATCAAATAATCAAACTGCTAGTGCTGCAGTGGCAGGCTAAAGGTAGCTTACATTCAGTAGCTTGCATACACTCACAGGTCACTTTATTATTGTATGCAATTCAGTGCAACACTTTATCGACTGATATGAAAATATTATCGTGATAAAATATTTTGTCATGTTGCCCAGCCCTACCATATGCATGCATGTTTAGTAGTATACTCATGTCTTTACTGACAGCTTCCTTACCCCACAGAAACATTTTAATGGTCTGAGTCCAGAATCAAGCACTGCATAGTTCACAGATCTTACTTTTTCAACAATTATTTTCTGACATATAATGGGTTTAGAAACAAATCACAGATTTTTCTTTACTCAGACTTTAATGCCACAGCAAAGGGATGTTTCGCATCTAAACTGATATTTCTGTTGTCCAGTCCCTGGGGATGGTTTTCCGCCAGCTTCTCTACGTGATCCTGATGATGAATAAAGGCAGCAGAGGGAAGCCCTCCCTCCTCATGCTCAGTCAGCCTATCCTCACCACTCGTGACCAGGCCATTCAATTTGTTTGGTAAATAGCTGTGTTCTGATCAAATGTTAAACCAAACTGTAGAGTTATGTATTGAATAATAAGTGAAATCTGAATAATACATACAGCAGTTTTGTTGATATTTGAACTGAGGAAACTTGCATTAACCAGTCCACCGGACTGCGGAGAATGAAATATTCTCCTTTATTAAGCATGAAATGCTTGATGTGTGATTTGCATAAGATCACCTTTTTTCCCTTTTTGACAGACCAGCAGATTTTTAGCTACTGCTAGATTCAGTGTGGGTCAGTATGTAAGTGTAATGCATACTTTATTATGTTTTTTCATTTATTTATTTTTAATTCTTTTCCCCCTTTTTAAGCCCTCAGAGCATTGTTCATCTCAAAAAAACTGTGGACTTCCACCTGCCAGATATAAAGAGATATGCAATTGGATTTTATCAGCATCTCTCCCACATTAAAATCTGAGATGTATCCTGCACAAAAAAATCTTCAAATGTTACAGCTCTATAGAAATGTGTCATTGCTTGTTAGAAACTGTGACATGAATTGACCCCATCTTTTAACTATTCTTTTATTTCTGTTGGTTGATGGAGTGAAAAAATGTGAATTTGTTGCATCAGGATCTCTTTATTGTTGATAATTTGGGATATTTCTGCCTGATTAATTGCAGTCAGGTTGCTAATCATATAGTGTTTTTAATTATAGTCATCTTATGGATGAGCTGAAGGAGCACGCACTGCCTTTTCTGAAGATCCTCGTGCAGCATATTTGCATCCAGGTGAAGTGTTCAGCAAACGATGTGGAGTGACATGCTTCATATGAAGATAAATATCACTGTTTGTGTAAAGTTCAGAGAGTCACTATCAACTCTTTCTGTGTTAAAGTTCACAAAGGCAGTCACATTTGAAGTGATGATTATACTGGTGGAATAGTTTGCTGTTACATTATTAGCTGATGCATTAGCATAGCTGAGATTTAATGTTTGTGCGGTGAATGTTTAGATGGTGGAGAAGAGTGAGTTTCGAATCCATGGAGCCCAGGCTGTCGGTATGCTGACGTCTCAGATGACAACCACAGATTATGCTTGCTTCATCAAATGGCTGTTTAATTTTTCCAGACACTCAAAGGTAAGGTATGCCAATGGTCAACTGTTTAAGAGAGAACTTTTCATATTTAACATGATACATAAATCTATTCTATATTATATATTTTTGTGCTGTT